TTCTCTGTCACGGTCTGTGATGGGTACTAGGATTTCTCTGTCACGGTCTGTGATGCGTCCGGAGGTTCTCTGTCACGGTCTGTGATGGGTATTGGAGTTTCTCTGTCACGGTCTGTGATGGGTATTGGGGGTTCTCTGTCACGGTCTGTGATGGGTCCGGAGGTTCTCTGTCACGGTTTGTGATGGGTTCGGAGGTTCTCTGTCACGGTCTGTGATGGGTATTGGGGTTTCTCTGTCATGGTCTGTGATGGGTCCGGAGGTTCTCTGTCACGGTCTGTGATGGGTATGAATTTTCTCTGTCACGGTCTGTGGGGGGGGGGGGGGGGGAGGGGGGGGTGCAAATTTCTGCCCCTAAACACTTCAACACTCCTTTCAGATCGTGTTTAACAAAAAAATAATATGTCTTCTTTGTGCCAAGAGATACATCGATGTAACATGCTATCATCAGCATGTGACATCATCCTTACGCTGTTTCACTCTTATTCCATATCATCATAGTATAATGTCAACCTTGTATCCTCACGCAATACTATTGTAACTGCTCCCTTATACATTGTTCATCCTCAATACTATTGTAATTGTTCCGTTATACATTGTTCATCCTCAAAACTATTGTAATTGTTCCGTTATACACTGTCCTTTGTCAACGCTTGTACAATCGTTGTATTACGTCGTGTATATATTCTCATTGCTCTCTTTCCTCTTGAAGGTGAAGGAGAAAGAGGAAAGAGAAGAGTGAAGAATATAGGCAGTTGACGAAAGAGCACGGTGAGAGTAAGATTGAACAACGATACATACAAGTGTGAGTGACATACATAGTGGTGTATAACTTTGTATGTTAAAGAAGAGTAGTACTCTTGAAATAAAAGAGCAAGTGATAGCGACAATAACGAAAGTGTGAAGGAATCAATAGAAGCCAAGACAAAGTCAAGAGCTTAGCAACTTCAATTATTCTTATTCGTCCATCCATCTTCACATTCTTTTTCGTTACATTCTTATTCATCGAACAAATAACTCGTGTCTTATCTAAACTTATTTTGAAAAATCATAGAAATAAGATCCAGAACTTTAGCATTGGCAAAATATGTGTGTATCTCTTTCACTAAATCACATATCAAGAGCAGAAAGCAAACGATATAATCTCACTAATGTTAGTTCGGAAACAGTTTCAAGTGGAAAATAAAGAAAATGGCGACAGAGAACATACATATAACAAAATATATTCAAAAGCTTTCGATAAAGTTTCAAACTGTATTATCTAATTTTGTATGCTGATAACGGTGATGGCTCGACTTCACTACTAAAGCGTTGGTGAAGGTAATGGTTCAATACTCAACTCAAACCTATAGGTATCGATTTTAATTTTCAATATATAGGTAGAATATCGTAGATCAGGATTCAAGTATTTCCTGAATAAATAAGCTGACCTATTAAAATAACTGGCCATTCTTAATTGTTCGATGAATTGATTCGATAATCATCGATAGATACTTTTTACTCACCAAAATTAAATAAACAAAAACTAAATAAAATAAATGAAAATAATGAAAAAATATCCAACATTCGATTGTATTTTGTTATTTTATGTATCACACGATTGACTTATTTCATCAAATAACCAGAGATGTGACAATGTCATTAGGCTGAAGAATGACTAGTTACAGGTCATGATATTCAATGGAATAACCATCTCAATACCCTCATGATCAAATATATTCATATAATGGAGCTGAATGCACCAAAACTACTCAAAATCCTCAGGTTTTAGGGACTGGATATCAATTGGTGTAACCATTGGGGTATTTGTAATGAGTATTAATTATATGAGTACTTGATTTCAACACAACAACGAAAACAAAAAATACCCGTTTAGACAACCAAACATCAGAACGAAAAAAAAGCACTTAATGATGATCATATAAGGGTGTGGGTGTGGGTGTGGGTGTGGGTGTGTGGGTGGGTGTGGGTGTGGGTGTGGGGT